TTGTTGTGGTGAAAATAGGAGGAGGAAGGAGTATTAGGTATGTTCACCTCCCTGAGTCATATAAAAATAATAAAAGCAGGATAAAAAATCTAAAAAAAAGGGTACTTTTCTTGAAATCAACGACTACTTGACTTGTCTGTTGTAAACTATATGTTTCCATAATTATAGATGTATTTGGACCACCTGCAGTTTTACCACAACCCTGAACCGAAGTGATCCTATAAGAATGAATTTCCAGTTTTGCTTTTTGTGTGCTGTACAGTAGAAGCTCCCCACTGAGTTCTGTGGGGTGCAGCAAGCAAGCTACACTGAGAAAGACTGTGTGCACACACACAAAAATCACCCCGGCTCATGCCGCAAACAGTACTTGAAGCTGGGCAAAGTTAATTCCCTTCTCCCAATATTCCTGGCCCCATTGACTTAATGCTAACAAACTCATAATATATGGTGATGGCAGCAGTCATTCATGAGAGGTGCTATATGTGTATATTGTATACATTCATTTGTCTTTAACCAGCAAATAAGTGAATGCAAATTTACAGTTCTTTTAAATTGGGTCTAACAAATGGGTCATTTTCTGCTCCATTGATAGCGCTGGTTTTCTTCTGTGCCTGAGAATTATTTGTAAATTGAGATTTTTGCTTTCCCAGAAGTCGTCTTTGCCTTAGACTAGCTTTCCTTTGTTGGCCACTCATGTTGCTTCTTCACAAGATTCTGCAATATAATGCCATCTGTCCGCTGTTCAATATACGAAGCACCACACTAAACAGCTGTAAAATGCCCAAGGCATAATCTATGTTGCATCCTCCTTTCTCTGCCTGCCAGCTTTTCTTTGTACTTTTTTCAGTTGTAGTTTGAAAAAAACAATGTATGCCTTTGTGCAATGTGTTTCATCACCAAACCATGGTTAAATGAAACATTACTTCATGCAGAGCCTACTGGGTGTGAATCTTGAGAGGCCCCAGGGCTATGTGCAACTCAAAGGCTTCTCCAGAATCAAATTTTCCTCATGAGAACTTAGGTATGAACTAAAGTGAGATAATAGTTCTGAACTGAAAGAGGATAGGAACAAGGCTGTGGCTGGGATGCAAAATGGTGGAATAGTGTTAAGGCTTATTATTGTCTGTTTAAAGTGGCTTGAGCATGTTGCTTGAGCCACCATCATGTGCATTAGTAGATTAAGGGCAGGTAGAAGCATATTTCTACAACTTCAGTCATGGACCAAGGGAGGTAGAGGATTAGTAGAGCAACAGGCTATTTGAGAAGAAAAGACAAATGTTTCCATGCTGTCCTCCTTTCTGGTTGATCTACCATCTCTTGGCACCTGAGTCATTCTATCAGAGTGCTTTTCAACCTAGTGGTTACTTAATGCCATCTGTTGTCATAGATCATCTTTGCTTAAGGCCCTCTCCATCTGGGCCAGGGTTGAACCTTGTGATGGTCATAGGAACAGACCAGGGATGTGGAAAAGGCAGTCTCGGAGATGGGACTTCAGAATCCAGCCTGAGGTCACTGTTGGGTTAATACTGACTTAATGTTGTCTGTGGAAATGTCCCAAGTTGTTACTGGCCTTGTATGTAGAGCAGGACATGCTTTTTATATTGCATATTTGGTTTTGCAAATGGCCGCTTTGTTAAAGTAATTACCACTGACGTGTACATTCTATATTTCATTTACAATGCCTATTTGTGATATAATTCTTCATGTGGCTGATTCCCCTGTGACTACAGTCCATGTAATGATATGCTATCATCATCATAATCCTTATTATTCTTTAAGATCTCACAAGACTTTGCTTTTAATTTAATATATGGCAACTGTTGAACTGGTTTGATCAGTTTGGTCAGGAGAGCCAGTTTGGTCTAGTGGTTAAGGTACCAGGCTAGAAACCAGGAGACCATGAGTTCTAGTCCCACCTTAGGCTTGAAAGCTGGCTGAGTGACTTTGGGCCAGTCCCTCTCTCTCAGCTCATGGCATCAAGCTCAGGTGACAAGCCGGTTGGTCAATTCCTGTTGCGACCAGTGAATCAATATTTGATTGATCTGGGGGGGAAAAAAGCAGACCCTGCACCAGTAAGAAAAATGCTAGGAAGAAAAAACTGTTGTATTAGTTATACAAGAAAATAATAGACCCTTCACTGTTTAATAATTTTTAAAAAAAACTTTGCAGGTGAAACTGATTCGTGAAATTGCAGCATGCAATGGAATCTTGATAACCTCCTATTCTTCTATTCGCTTGTTACAAGACAACCTCCATAAGTATAATTGGCACTATGTGATTCTAGATGAGGGACATAAAATTCGGAATCCCAATGCTGCAGTTACACTCGCTTGTAAACAGGTATGATTCTTAAAAAAACAGGAAACTTGGATTGTCTTTGATTGTTATTTGCTGCCTGAAAACCCTCCAACTTATTTTCCATTAAATAATATTCAAGCAAGGTATATTTACTATTATATAATTCTTAAAAATAAATATTGTTGTCTGTACATATAAACTTGGCAATTGATTGATTGTAAATATGCCTTGATGTTCTAGACCTACTATAAGTCTTCATATGTTCCATCTTCTGGCATGAGGTATATAATCAAAGGCCGTAGGAAAAGTGAATGTTCTCCTATGTTCTTGCTCTTTCCTTCAGGCTGTCCAACTAACACTTGTATTTATCCATCTTACCTCATTTTATGTCCATCTTTCTTTTCTGAAACCTTTCTGTCCTTCTTTCATTTCCTTCTTCATGCATGACTCTATTCTTCTTTGTGAGCCCTTAAGCAAAACATTGCATAGGTGAGGAATTGAAGAAATAACTTGGCAGTGCATACATTCTGAATAATAATAATAATAATAATAATAATAATAATAATAATACTGCA